TTCCCACCTCTGAGCAGACACCCCTAGGACTAAACAAAGCAGAGACATGACTACAAGGAGTTCTGTCCAGGTTAAGACAAAAGTCAAGCAATTTGGATGTGGTTTGTAACAATTTTTTTGTCTTCAATACTACCAAAAACTTTCAGTTAGAAAGACCGTGTACAAAGTTACACATAACTTCACTTATTAATCTCAGAAGACTGCCCAGTAACTCAATCGACATGGATGGCTCACAACATGGCTCACGAAAATCAACTTCTTTGCACTGCTGGACTTAAGCCTCAACAGGTTACACACCCGCTACATCTGCCAGGTCCCCTGGAAGTTCAGTAGAGATTCATCTGGTTGTGCTTTAAAGTGCAGGCTGAAATTTAAGCAGCAGTTCATATGCCAAAACAGTTGGACAGCCTTATGTATTTTTTCAGCAGTGTGTATCTTTTGGATCCCATTGCATTAATATTTTAATAGTATTATCAGAATGTTATGGTAAACGATCACCACGTGCAGAAGGAATTCTCACATAAATCCCACGATGGAAAAGATGCAACACCCACAACATGCTACCTTGTTTCTTTGACCTTCAGCATCAATTTCCAAACCCAAAATACATCCAATTCTTTAGAACACAAAGCTTATATCAAAAAGTGACTTTTTTTTTGTTTGGGTTTTTTTTAAATTTATAAAAGCTTAATTTTCCCAACCATCGTGCATCCTGTGGCTATCACTGAATATAAATAAAAAAGGAACTGCTACTCATGCCTCAAAGTATCCTTATAAAACTTCCTCGACAGGTGATGGACTTGACAATTACAGACACACACATATGTCTATAAATTCAGAAATACAAGCGGACTCAGCTGCATCTGGACAAGTCTGCAAGGTCAGCATATGCCCCAGGAAATCAAAGAATCTGTACTGCGGTTCACCCTCTAGGGTTTTACTGGGGAGTGAAAGCTTTAGATTACTATTATAACTACAGAGTAAACTACCCGTAAATCAGACAGCAGAATAATCACAACTGCACTGAAATCTACCTGTTGATACCAAGCAGAACACTGTTTCTTATGCATTTTATTGATTTTTGTAACTTTATCCTAAAAACATGAGCAGGCATAAGTTATGAAAATGTAAAGAAGAAAGAAATGTTTAGTCCCTCTCTCTAAGACAAGTCACACTTGAGAACAAAAATACATTTAAAAAGTATCTCTCAAAATCCAACCTTTTTCTTTTGGATCTATCAGACCAATACGGATAGGAACCCTTGTCAAAACCCCTATATGCTAAAGAGACATGTTAAAGATACCTTCTCCTCAGAAACTTGAAGAGTTTGGAAATAAGAATACCATTAAGCAGCAGTCTGCAAAATAACGGTATTAGTTAGGTAGTTCACAGGAACATTGATCCCCCTTTGCAATTCTAATTCACGATACTCTTAATGTCTGAAACCTGCCTACTAGTTATCATATGTACTTCAACTGTGGTTAAAAAGAATCTTGAAATTTATTACTTTTACATGCAGAAAAGACGATATTAATGTAGAAGTAGTCTCTTGTAGCACAGCTGAAGGAAAACAGGATTTAACCACTCAGTTAAAGCAAGTAGTAAGGTTAAAAATAACCACTATTTATTCACAAAAACATTGAGCAGACATCACGCAGATGCACAGCAAAAGAATCAGTGTTTTTTAACTACAACCTCATTAACAATTGCTGGTATTTACCAAGGCAGAAACTTTAGATATTCTTTTATGTGGGCCAAATAAAGCTGAAGAAAATTGAACCTGAAAACGCATCTGTTTGTGCACGCATGTGTCTGTATGTAATTAATGCAAGAATAAAGGCAAACATCTCTTAACAGGGAGCAACAAAGCTGTCAACCTAAGCTTTAAGGGAAAAAGCAGTCCTCGCTGAACTAGCACTGGAAGCTGCTCCCGGATGCCGACCCCGGGGAGGATGTTCCCCACGAGTCCCTTTTCCACCTGGGGAGGGGACAATGTGTGATGGAAACCCCCGACTGGGAGGCTGATGGTCCCGCTTTGCCTCCCTGTGGGTGCTGGGGGGCGCTGAGGGGTAGTGCTGAGCCCCACGGGGTGCTCGCTCCCACCTGGGGGTGGTGGCAGGGAGGGGGGGGACATCCCCGGGGTGGTCCCTTCGAGGCTGAGCCAGCCCTGTGATCCCGTTCCCGTGGGGAGGGCTTTGGGTGGCTCTGTGTCCCCCATCCTGCTGCTGCAGCAGGTTGCAGTTGCGGTATCTTATTTACATAGGCAAAACCCTCCCACACACATTCAACGACCCAGCCTCATTCATCACATAAATAATTGTAGTTTCCAGTGCTGAATTTACTCACATAATATAAGAGGACAGTATTTTAATGAAAATCTTTTATAAATATACTAACTTACCCTGCACGGAGAAAATTATTTATTCAGCTGTGGAGTGAAAAGCCTAAATTAATTTAACCTTTAAATCTAAAGTGAGCTGACAACAACTAATCCTTAGCAGCCAGAGGCAGTTACATGTCACTTCAAAACCACATGCCAGCAGTATCTGCCACCACATATTCCTGGCATCAGCCTCAAGACACAGGTCTGTCCTTTCATCATGTACTGAGTGAAGAGAATTAAAATTCTATCAAGCATTTCATCTGCTTAATAATTGTATCTGGAGATTTTTCTAAGTATTATAACTACCTGCCCTTTGGATCAGTGACTTACTTGCATTGTAGAAATATACATAATATTTTTTCCCTTTTGGAGATAAAAGAAAGGAACTCTGAAGAAAAGTTTTCAATAGATTTACATTTCTGTAGATGAAGACTTCACTATTCTTTCTTATCAGGAAAACCAACCAACCATCTTCTGAAGCAAAGACCATACAGAAACTACCTGTCAATCATTTCTAAATACAGTGCACAAAGTAACAATTCAAAGGATACTTGAAATCAAAATGCCATCTTTCCTTCTGCTCAGACTTGAACATCCACCGAAGGGTTATATTATTACATAGCTATTTCAGATCTTCTACTGATTTAAAATAAAAGAAATTTTTACAGAAAGATGTCCTTTGTATATAAAAACCCCCACCACTTTCTCCTGTACAGCAAATGTGGCTTATATTGGACACAGGGGTTTTTTTTTCTTTTTAAAATGAGAATTATTTAATTCTTATTAACAGAGATTTTATACATTTATTTCACATTTTGAAAACCAAATCAGTTTGCCAAGACTGATAAATCAAATGTAAAACCTATGCAAACAAAAGACACTTTCGACTTTGGACTATTGTAGTTATTTTAGCTGACACACAGAAATGACCTTCCCAAACCAAAGAGGGCGATATTGAAAGGCCTGAGTTTTTTCTGGCCTGAGTTGTTTTCTACATTCTAAACCAGAGGGGAACATCGAGAGGTTTTTCGATTACCTTTTAGCATCCCTTGCAAAACTCTAGCTGTTACAGGACAGTGCCCGCACCCTCTTCTTCCCTCTGCTAATTTAACATTGCATACGTTCATGAATAACTTCTCACAAAAATTTTCACGCGCTGGTACTATAAAAAACTAATTTAATAACAGTCATGTTCCTAACTATCCGGTTTCATGAGCACTTGATAACCCAATTTCAAAGTAAGTATACTCGCACAGTGCAGAATAGCAACATGGTTACTGAGTTAATAGTATGTTAGTCTAGATAAATTTCTGGACATCTTCTATAAATGCTTAAGCAGTGCTTGAGAGAAAGCACAGCAGCATCGTATTTTTTTAATGGTACCAAAAAAGTAAGCAGTCCTGTAATTGCCTTTCAGAACCTTCTCGGTAGTTGCATGTAGTGAGAATTTCAGGTTCACAGCTTTTAAAACTTCTAGGATGAAAATGATTTTTGCATCTTTTAATACTAGATCTGTGCAGACTAAAAAAACAACCAACAACCACAACCCCCCCAAAAACAAAAAAAACAACCAAAACCAACAACCACAACCCCCCCAAAAACCAAACCAAACAAACAAACCCGTTGTGTACTCGTCTCAGACACTGAGAGGGCTAATGTCAGGTATTAAGATTGATGGTATCTGACAGAAAAATCCTCTAAGCTGCTTTTGAGGAATAGCCGTATTTCATCTATGGATTCAAAGCTTCTTTTGTTTCAATAGTTTAAGACAAATAGAGCTAAATTATAATTTTGCTGTGTTCCAAATTATTCTATTAAAAATCATACCATTTTAAAACAATTATTTTTGATTAGAATATCTTGGTTTAGCATCTTCAAAAAGTGCAAATTTGAAGGTAAGTTCTCAGTAAAATTTAATTATAAGCTATATGTAAAGGAAAAAAATAGTATCTGTGCCTAATTCTTATCTTTAGCATTATTTTACAGATGGTCATATGGATGTGGAATTACTTACCCACTGTGACGTAGCAGGGTAACTCAGCCCCTAAGAGAAGATTAATTTCCCTGGTGTACAATTCAGTGTCATATCCTAGTTGGCAACGGTGACTTCCTTCTCGTGTGACTGTTACCAATTACTAGAGCGCTTCACACAGAAGGTTTCAAACCTCACGGTAGGACAAGTACAAATGTGAACTTACGGCCTTCACTCCAGAGCAGCTGCTACCAGGCCAAACGCAGTGCCTCTTGCATGCCACGTGCAAGGCCATACACTGTTGTGGGAACAGCAGTCCCTAGCCGCCCCAGCCAACTGAGCTGCTGAAATGATCTGCTCACTTATCTTCAGAGTTTGAAACAAGATGCCACTACAAAGCTGTATATTAAACTGTAATTGAAAAACACTCTGGGATAGAAACCAGATCCAATAGCCACGGATCATTTCTGAGAGAGGGTCCTGAAGCCAGAGACTAAACTATTAATTCATACTCAGTTGAAGTTATGTTGGGAAAGCTCCTGATGAGAAGGAAATGGAAATAAGTCTTCTATAATGTGTAGTTTTATGCCAAAAGATTGTACCAAATGATCTCAAGAAGAGATTTGCTAACTTGAGGCAATTTTTGAAGATGTTTTATGCATTGCCAGCTGCTTTCAAATGTAAAAAGCATCTCAGAATCTGTCTGCTTTCAGATAATTAGGATATGAGACAACACACCAGGGAAGCAGTTATGAGAGGAATTCAATTTTCCTCTAATCCAGCACAGAATCTCTGTCAGGTTTTTTCCAACATTCTGAGGAAAGAAGAATGGGTTCTTCTATGTGAATTGTGTTTAATAGATGATGGTTAAATACAGTATATATTGCTTTCCAAAATGAACGTTAGTTTAAGCTTCCCTCTCTACAGTTTTTGAAGTCAAGGAACAGTTTCTAGGCTGTTAATTACTATCAAGTAGCATAAGAACCTAAGAATGGTACACAAAGTTGTGGAGTGTAACAGAAATTGTAAAAGCTAGGTCAGCAGAAGTTATTTCTTTTCTGGAATTTCTCTCCGAAAACTGTACACAGCAAAGAGGAATTTATCCAATTCCCATTTCAGTAAGGTATCAAAGTAATTTTCTTTAGAAACACTAAGTGTCAACAAGTGATTACAGCTGCTGTTACAGACCCCCACTGATGCATTTAATCATCAAAATAGATCCATTTCAGACTATCATGACTCTAGGTGGTAAATTTAACTTAAGAGAAACCTTATCTTTCATCTCGGCAGGCAGAGATGATTCCCTCACTTAATCCTTTAGAAGTAATTCTTAACTTTATTAATAAAGTTCGCAGTCCATATGGACAAAAAAGGGTTTTCGGCCAAACATCCTCTACTTAGTTTCTACGAACAGAATGGGTGACCTACCCCACGGACCAAATGACAACATTCTGACAAAACAGAATGAAGCAAAACAAACCACAAATGTGCAAATGAAGAATTGGAAGATGCTCTGCTCCAAGACTTCAAAGAAAAGATTATTCAGATGCTGACTTATTGTTCTAGTTACTTTTATCACCTCATTCCTGCCCTGAGCCCATGGCAGAAGAAAAGATTCATTGAGTAACAGAAGAGGAACACAGCCAAGGACATTTAAGAGGAAGAATACACACGACAATCCAGAAACAAATTATTTGATGGTCATACGCTACTGCTAATGGAACTCAATGTTAGCCTGTAAGCAGCAGCATTAGAATTATTGGAGTAGATTAATTACCATAACAAAATAAATAGCATACAAAGGAACAAATGAGCAACCGAATTGCTCCTCTTCTTTTTCCATTTGAACAAGCCAGTTACTTAAAATACAATATTGAAAATTGAAATTGCAAATTACTTTACAAGCCAGCAATAAGACAGTAAGAGGACATTAAGATCTGAAACATCTGCCAGTCCTGAAAGGCATGTCATTTTTAAGATGGTTTCTTTAGGAAAAAAAAAAAAAGAAAAAAACCCAAACTGACATTTAGAAAAAAAATCTTATAAATTATACTGATTTGGTTTTGTGTTGGCCAGTCACCTGGTATTACAGAGCATCATCCAGGAGCAGGCCATGACTTGCATCATAAGCAACTGTCCCCTAGTAAACTGAACAGGGATCTGGCATGCTGAATTTTGTCATCAGGAAAGCCAGCAATTGCCAAATTAGCAAAACTAGCACAAACTAGCACATTTTTATTACGCTCAAAACATGCTTTCCCTTCCTCTATCAGGTCTATTCAACCGACTGGAACCACAGGGGCTACATTTTCAGGAGGGAAATACCTGCTTGCAAAATGTTTCACACTTGTTATGGACTACACCATTAGAAGACTCTATGTCTCAAAAAGCATAAAGGCAACTAACTAATGAATTAATCAATTAACAAAACACCACACCACAAACACCACAGAAAACAACAGCTTCCCACTTCAGAATCTATTCCCTTGCCATGCTTCTCCCCTCCAGTTTAAAAAAAAAAAAAAAAAACAAAACAAAAAATCAACTCAAACTTGAAATTTCTCTAGAAAAGAAGTGGGAGGGAGACAGGAGGAAATAAAGGAGAGGCAAGTCAGGAAAAGCCCGACTGGCCACATTTTATTTCAGGCAAACTGGCTCAGCTGTTCAAGAGGCTTCCCGAGCAATATTCACATTGCACTCATGCATACTCAAGACCCCCCACAAGTGCCATAGATATTTGCTTTTGTTCAGATTCTCCTTTCCTGTCTCTCAACTTTTTAAAGACACTTCAAAGAAGATCAAAAAATTTGAAAGAAGTGTAGTTGTTTAGTCTATGGAACAGAAGATAGATGGGAGACTTGGTCTCATTCTTCAAACGCAAAGGCAGTTGGTATGAGAACAGGACTAAACTGTTCACCAGGTCTGCTGCAGACAGGATAAAGCAAGGAAGATTTAAGTTAGACCTTTGGAAAACTTTCAAGCAAGAGTAAAGGACTGAACAGGCTTCCTATGGAGGTTGTGGAATATCCATCACTAAAAACAGGTTAGGCAAACATCTGTCAGGAGTGATTAAGGTATTATAGATGAGAATGAACTTGAGATCTTTTGCTCCTCTTCTGCTAAGGTCTTTTCATTACACCAAGCATTACAAAACCAATAATATTTCCTTCTTATACCCCCGCATTTTATTTAACTTTAAAAAACATGTAGTAAAACCCACCCTTCTAATTGTGATATTTCTACATATTCAAGTAAGATTATTTGGGAGAACAAAACACATCAAAGCTTTGATAACTGTGAAAGCAAGATAAATAAACCACCTGTGAAGTAAAACACCAATGTATTAATTTTACACTCACTCTGAAGAAATTAACCATTAACATCACAACACAGACAGTAATATATTTTCTTGCTCTCCAAGAGAAAAGAGAATTGGGAAAACTTTTAACTGATGACTTACTGATCTGTGGTCACCAAGCCAACAGTAAACCATTTTTCAGTTTTTACATAAAGGAATTTTTTTTCAAGGAGAGCACTTTTTCCCAAGCACACACACACACACACACAAAAATAAATATAAAAAATCAAAACCATGAAAGCAGTTTTGTTCAGAAGGCTGCTTTGAGAAGTATCCAAATCTTTTTAAAGCCATATTAAACTATGAGTAGGGATGGCTTCTACCACACCAGGGGGAAAAAAGTCCATCAGAGACTCTTTTTTCCCCTACTGTTTAGTACTAATGTAACCATGGAAATTATTTTTTTCCCTTCTGCTTAATACTGATGTTTCCATTTCCATGGTTACTAAACATCGATTTCCCCCTCACCCCCAGTGTGGCAGGAAATCAAACAAGGGAAATGTTTCTTGGTGACGGTAATAAGAACCATACAGGTAACTGTTTAGAAGGAGAATAAACCGGGGGAGTCTCTGATGGACTGACATCTTACAATTCATATTGCTACAAGAAACAAGAGACGCTATCTACTTTGCTCACATATGATGTTCCGAGCAGCTGCCCTCTAGGCTGACCCCTCAGCTTTATTTATATTGTCTAGCACTTGACATTCTTTAGGTTTTAGAAAACACTTTTTTAGAAAACACAAGCATGAATGAATTCATTCATGTAGCAGCTGTGACATACAGCAATCAAAATCAGAAAAGTTCAAAAATATTATGGTAGATATCAGATTTGTTTTCCTGCACATTTAACCAATCCTTCTTACGATAACACCTTTACATTATTATTATATAGGTATTTCCCCAGTATGCTTATGGGGACTTGTAAAGTAGGTGGGATTTATACAGGTACCTGACAGCTCAATTTCTTTTTTTCACTCTTGGTCTAGACAGGTCTTGGATAAAACTTATATCCTATTTTGCAAATTCAAGATCCACTTTTCATGCTGATGCCATTATTTGAGTTCTTGTCCTCCAGAATGAACAAGTTACGTCTGCTGCTTCTTAGGGCTTTTTCAGAAATGAACAGACTAACATGACATCTGTAAAATAAATTACTCTACTTTGGGGGGGACATATGGGGGAGGAAAAAAAATACCTGAGAAACTGGTACTTTTCTAATTTGATTCTACTGCTAATTAGTAAATTTACATGGAGCAGCAATTTTAGAAGTGGTCTCTTGATTCAGAAAGAAAACACACAATCACTACAGCTGATTGTTACCTTACATTATCTCTTACTATCTAGCACAGTTCAGTAGTATAAAATGTGCTGTACAATAAAAGAATAGAAATATTTTGAGGCATATCTACAGTATTTCCAGAAGCTGTTTTAAACCTTCATGCCAACTGATCATAGCACATCTCAATATAATACAGACAAATATAAACCCAACTTTTTTTTACTTTCTACTTTAGTCCTAATTTAAGAAACAACAACCCCCTGAACGCCCAAAGTCACAAACAATTCTATGGAGTTTATGGAAGAAAAGCAAACAAAAGATTAATAGATAATTTGGAAACACTGATCAAATTGTTGTGATGATGTGTCACTTAAATTAGAAATTCAGTGTGTCAAGCATATAGCATGAAATTTCAGTGATAAACGTTATGGTTAAATATATGTATTTCAACATTCTCTAAATTAGGACTCTAAATTAGTTCTTCAAAAACGTGGTTCTACCAAGGATATTAAGCAGGCAACTTTAGAATGAACAAGAGCAGGAAAAGGGATGTCT